GAATGCCACAGGGGCCCAAGTGTGTTTGTGTTTATTGTGCTTCACAGCTGGCCAGAGCTTTGCCCAGGATGCTCTGACAAATCAGCCAGCATTAGTCCTTCTCTGCAGCATCCTGAAATTTCCCTGCCACTTTAGGAAGAGCCAAGTTGTGGGTTGCTTTGGTTTTCCCTCTATAACTGGCCTGTTCTGCTTCCTTATTCACTTCATGCTTTTTTTAGTGTTCGATAGGTCTCTCTTGGTTTGCTGTGCGTTTTTTTTTTTTTGTTTTACTTGCTGATTTTGCCTGGAAATCAGAGGGGGCTTAATGTGTTTAGAGATCACCTATCATCATTTTCCAGTTGGTACCCAGCTGATGCACAAACATCCTCTTGGTGAGCTTTGCTGGAGGAGGAGCTGTGGCCAGTGCCTGGCGTGTCTTAGCAACAGTTGCTGTGTACCAGTGCTGCAAGAGAAACAGAACTTCTTCCCTGCCATAGGCATTTGAATGCTTTAGACCCTTATTTTCATGGATTTCCATCATCCATTTTTTTCCTACCATCTTCCACACAGTAATACTGAGAATTATTTTTTTTTAAAAAAATTAAACTTTGGCTGTTGCTTTCAGTGGTTATGAACTCTGCTGATGCTGAGTGATTTTATTTCTGTACAAGTTAATGTTTTACAGGCATTTTACCACCCGTGACACAAACATTGACATAAAAGTTTCTCAAGGAGAAGCAGCTATAAATGTTACATTGATTGTTATTTACTGGTATTTTATGTTGTTATTGCCTAGACAGGTCAAAGAAAAAGAAATGTCTGTGTGGTTTCAGAAGTGGAGAGAAAATGATGCCTCATGAGCACTGTTAGGTATCACAGCACATTGCAGGTGCAAGGCCTGAGTCCAGTTCAGAGCTGCTGTCTCTCAAATAAAGCTGGCATAGAATGCTGTGTGTAACTGTTGTGACTTCCTTTTCTAAAGAAAAGCTACAACCTGCTCTGGGCTCTGACAGTCCTTAATGCCAAAATGGCATAATTTGTAACACTCAGTGTCAGCTGTCACAGAACAAATAAGCATAAAAAAGAAAAGCTGTCTCCTTCTGTCCCAAAGATCTTTATATCATGTGTGTTGAGATGAGAACAGGGAGGTGAAGGGGATGTGGGGAGCAGTTCTTGCAAGGTGTGGTCACTAAGGCAAATGCACCAGTCATTTTGAGGATTTTGTGTGCATCCTGCTGGAGGGCACTTGGGAAAGGAGCTTTGCTGGATGTGATTCAGCTCTGAATTTTGGTAGAAGTTGCTCATAAATAAGAAATAAGATGTAAGAAATTTGGAGGGGTTGGAAGAGCTGGAGCATAGAGGTTCATGATGTTGGCTGAGTGGTGAGAGTTCAGGTCCACACTTTCCAGGTTCAGAAACTTGCCAGGAGCTTGGACTGTCCTTTGCTATAATTTCTTCACTAGCAGCAGTAATAGGTTGAAACATTTTTATGGCTGTGAAACTTTGATATCTAGGTGGAAAAGTCAACCATGAGTTCTACCAAAAAGTGTTTCACTGTGCTGTGGAGAGATTCTTTGTGGAGAGAAGAAAGGTTTGGTGTGTAATTTTGTGTTGTCTAGATTTAAACTGGCTGATGTGAAGGTCCATCTCTGGAAGGATGGTGTGAAGGATCTTCAAGTGCTCCTGGTTTATAATGCAGCTCTAGTGCTAAAGGGGTGCCTGAAATGAAAAAAATATATCTTGCAAGCAGGCACACCTTAAAAAGAATTTAACAGTCTTCCTGGTGGCAATTTTCTTGAGCTGTGTTAGGCAATATTTGGACACTCGTTATTTGGGTTGCTGCCAAACCAGTTGCTTTACCTTAAAAAATAATCTTTGGTGGTGGTTACATCAAGTCAGTGGATTACTGTAATCCAGCTGTAAGAATAGTGTCAGTGTAGGATGTTCGTGCCCTTGAAATGTCAGTGCACTAAGACAGGCACTGCAGCATGGTTTTGAGTGACCATAAAGAGAGCAATGTGACCTTTTTTTTTTCCCCCACAGAGACCACAGAATTAGTTAATTTAGTGTTCAGGAGGAAGATGGGAAATACTTGTGTATTTGTTTGATTTTCCTCTGTGAGTGAAATAGGAATTGAAATAGGAGGTTGCAATATGGAGATATTTGAGCAGAGACCTGTAAAACAACTGTTTTCAATGGCTTTAGATTATGCAAGTCAGTTAAAACATAAAAGATAAATTAAAATATAGACATATCTGTTGATAGTAAAGGGGAGAACCTCATCAAGGGGAATTATTTCTAGCTACTGTTTCAAAATAAAAGAGTTGCCACACTTGTCCTGTGTTGTATCATAATTCATACTGATCATTCTTTCATAGCTATTTATGATTGAAATTTCTGGTTTGAATGTTCTTAATACAGTGATGTTGCAAGATCTGGATTTTCTCTTTTTAATGTTTTTACCTTCTTTTAAACTTCCATCAGTCACTAACACTGATATTTTGATAAGATGGAGTGAGAAGTGAGTAGGTTTGTCATTGAATATGGGAAATACTCACTTAAGGATACTGGGCTGAGTTTAAAGAGCTGAAGACAGATTTGGTTTTGGAGATTTATTAAAGAAACCAACCAACCAAAAAACACAGTTCAATAAAACAGTTGTTCCTTGGCAGTGTACTTGGTCAAAGAGTTGAATGCAAATAGACTCAGGAGGGTAAGTGGATTTATGGCATTTTAGCAATCCCAATTCAGTGTCAGACTGCAAGGATTGGATTTTGTCCTTGCAGGCTGTATTTTGCAGGCCATTCAACTGAAGCAGGTTTCCTTCTGTTGAGCATAACTTTTGTCCACTTGTTGGATTCTTACCCAGGTTGTTAAAATGTGTGAACAGAGAGTGAATCCAGCTGTGCATTCTCTGTTGGGCTTCGGTCAGAGAAGGGGAGAGTGGAGGCTGAGGGTATGTGAGGGTATGTGCTTCCAGTTTCCTGGTGACAAGACATGATGTCTGAACAGAGCAAATGACCTTTGCATATTCTTGCAGAGAAATGGAAGTTTTTACATATTTCAGTAGCAAAATTGTCATTTGCAAACTAAGCTATGCAAGAGGAAGTGGTGGGCTAAATTAGGATCTTTATTGAGAGAAATATGGAGCAGCAGTTGTTTCTTGGAAGGCAAGTGCATGTTTAGGTACAGAGTGTAACCTGCTTCAGTGACTTCTGGTGGTTTTACTGCCCCAGTTGAGATGACTGATGGTTTTTCCACCTGACTTCTCTCTTGTGCTGCATTGCTGCTGCTTCCCTGCCCTGTGCTGTCCTGATGTTCACTCCTATTTTCACATTGCCTTGCAGGCTCAGTGGTAGTGGATGAGTTTGTGGCCTCCAAGGCAAGCAGAGATTTGGCAGATGATGTTATCTTCACCTCCACTGCATCTCAGTTCCATGCATTTCTGGGGAGCTGCTGTTTCTGGAATGACCTTCACTGGCAGATTTTGCCCATGATTTAGCTCATGCTCTGTTTCCTTTAGGTGATCCTTGTTGCAACAGTGAGAAGAGGCAAAGCTGTGTAGTACATTCTGGGGTTTTTTATTGTTGAAGCATGGAGATGTTGGTTGATAGTGGCTGACCATGAGCCAGAAGTGTGCCCAGGTGGCCAAGAAGGGCATCTTGGTTTGTGTGTGTGGCCAGCAAGGCAAAGGCTGTGATCATCTCTGTGATCATCCTTTTTCCTTGGTTCTTGTGAGGCCACACCTCAAATCCTGTGTTCAGTTTTGGGCCTCTCACTACAAGAACGACACTGAGGTGCTGGATTGTGTCCAGAGGAAGGCAGGGAAGTTGGTGCAGGGTCTGGAGCACAAGTGTGACAAGGAGCAGCTGAGGGAGCTGGGGGGATCAGCCTGGAGAAAAGGAGGCTCAGGGGGACCTTATCTCTCTGAGAGGAGGCTGTAGCCAGATGGGTCTGTCTCTTACCCCAGGTAACAAGGGATAACAGGATGAGAGGAAAAGGCCTCAAGTTGTGCCAAGGGAGGTTTAGATTGCATGTTGGAAAGGATTGTAAAGCTTTGGAACAGCTTTCCCAGGGAAGTGAAGTCGTCATCCCTGGAAAGGTTCAAAAACGTGGATATGGCACTTGAGGACATGTTTTAATGGTGAACATGGTTGGTGGTTGAACTTGGCAATCTTACAGGTCTTTTCCAACCTTAATGATTCTGTAATTCTATGCTGGTATTTGTCTGTTTTCTTCATGCTAATTGAAAAGTAGAAAAAGGTGGTTTTGCATCTTCTAAACAATGTGCACACTCCTACACCCACTCAGAAAATCCCATCTGTGTGGTTGCTTTGGCAACCTTTCATTTGGAATCAAAGGTTTAAAGAAACTGAAAGAGTTAAGAGTTTAGCTAGATTTAGTTAGGAGGATAGAAACAATTTATAATGATTAAGAGTATACCAAGAAGAGTAGAAGTAATGGGGAATAGTTAATTATTAGCAGATAGTAGTTAAGGCTAAGGATATAAATCACTTATGTGTCTTACTGTGTTTGAAGAAGCAGGATAAATATTTGGAGCTATTGTGAAAATGAAGAAACTGTGACCTCACCTGGGCCCTGAAACTTGAGCTATAGCCAAGGGGTCCAAAGCCTGCCAGCAAGGCAGAAGTAAAAAGGTCACTGTGCTCTCAGAAGACCACAGACCCATTTGGAAGCCCACTGACTTAACTCAACTAAGAGATTGTGCAGGTGTAAAAAGAACTTTGGACTCATTTTAATACATTTTAATGGGAAGCAGGGGTAGGTGGGGTTAGGTAATGCATTGTATAGGTGTATTGGGTAATTATATGAATTTGTAAGACTTTTGTGAGTAAATGGAGAGCCAGAGCTCAGTGAATTTTGTACATCTTTGGGAAATTACTCCCAAAGTGTGCCCAGTGGTGTCAATGAACACACACCACTTTCTAACTAGTTGGAGAGTTCTATTCTGTGCTTCAGTTTCAGTAAGGATTATTTAATGTAGTCACTTTTTTTTACAGATGATGACTTTGATCAGTTTGATAAGCCTGGTGCAGAAAGGTCTTGGAGAAGAAGAGCTGGAGATGACGACTGGGACAGGTAGGTAGAATATTTCCTTGTTCAGTTCTGTAAGCTGAATTGCATTGTTCTGTTTTCCCATTCTGGCATTTTGTACTCTAACATTTAGAGCAGTGCACATTTAGATTCTAATGAAGATGTTGTTTTGCATGTGTCAGCCAATGCTAGATCATGCCAAACATGTACTTGCCTTGAGGAATATAGAGCATTGTGAAGAGATGCCTTTAGAAATTGGATAAATACAAAGTATTTGTGGTGTGTAATTTTGCAATTAATGTTTTGGTTTTGCTTTTAAATATTTAATAGAGCTAGGTGGTTTAAATAGAATTTGCTAGTACTTGAATTTTCCCAATTTAATTTTTAAAATATTTTTTACTTTAATGTTTAAATTAATGTTTAAATTTTTTTACTTTGATCTTTAAATTCCCATAATCAAAGTTCTACTTCAGTTTTAAATTGGGGGAGAGGAGGAGAGCTTAGGCATGGGCTTCTTCAACAATATGACTGTTCTAAAGATAGAGAAGTGTGTGTGCTCTGGGTTGTTTTGGGGGAGAATGTGTGTTCTTTTATGAGACAGGAATCAAGCTGCTAGCTACACTGATCTGCTCTTTCTGGGAGAAAACATTTCACTTATTTCTGTCATTTTTCTATGATTCCTTTTTAGTAATAGACTTGTTCAGACTTTGCCAGTGGTTTTCACTCTAAAAGGGAGAAAATATTCCAAGTAGATTTCTGTCTTCTCTAATAATCACTCAAGTGATTGTAGTAAACAAATTTTACTGTAAGTAGTTTTCCACTGAGCTGAGCCCTTGGAGTAAATCAACTGCTCTACATTTATTGTCATTCCAGAGGCATTAGTTTCCTCTTCCTTGGTGTTCTGCTAGGTTGAGTGGGTAGTTTTCATTGCTGCAGGAGGATGTGACTGAGGAATTTGGGCAGTAGCTCTGTATATTCAAGGTGTTGTGCTGTTTGCTGATGAGCAGTGCCTGCTCTCTGTCAGCCCAGTGCAGCTGTTTGAGGGTTGGATGCTGAGGTGCACCAAGGAGCTGCTCTGCTTTGAGAGTGGAATTAAAATGCTGGGACTCTCCTGGGCTGCCTCCTGTACCCAGGACTGGCTATTCAGAAACCTTAAAATTGCAGGCAGAATGTTTTGTATTGGAATATTTTCTGAACTTTTGGCCTTTGGTGCATAATAAATGGGTGGGCTCTTAGCTGCTGACTGGTCACATTCAGGTTTAGCTCCCTACTCATCACTTGATAAGATCTGAAAGAGTCCAGCAGCTGTTACATCAGAAGTTGGAAGCTTTTACCCAGTGGCAAACTCTGCTTGTGCAAAGCTGATTTTAATAGGGCTTGACAGTAGTTTTAGAGTATTTGCACTGAGCTGAGACTTTGAAGTATAAAGGGATTTAGTTTTAGAAAAATGTTTTCATTTATGTGTTTATTATTAGCTGTATTTAAGAGAGATTATCAAAAATTCAGTAGTGAAATTGTGAGGGAAGTGGTTTCAGTTGCAGAGCAGAAGATTCTAGAGTTTCATCTTGCTGATAATTTCAGAAATCTCATTTTACAACTGTATCTAGTAAAATGCTATTTGTATGTCTTGGAATATTTTTTTTTGTTAATATTATTCTTTTTAAATTGCAAAGCTCTCTTTGTAGGTGTTGAGTTCTGTGGTTGTCTTGGCAATTAGAAATTCTGTACATGGTATGTTGCCTAATGTAATTGCTTAGGAGTTTTTTACCTACTTGGCCTAATTCAGTGTAGGACATAGTTTCTCAAAGATGGAAAAAAGGCTGGATGAACACAGTAATCTTGGTGTTTTAATCCTTCATGTGTTGTTTTCAACTGAAGCATCATTTGGGAGGGAGAGATGAAGGAGTTCTGGTAGTCACACATCCTCATCAACCATCAGCTCCTGCTGTGTTGTTACTTGACTGAGTCCCATGCCCCAGTCACTTAAATAATTAAAATAATAAGATTTTGAATATAGAAGTAATATATTTATTAGTAGTATATTTATTTTATATATAATTAAATATTGAATTTTCATATCTCTGTCCTTTCTCAAACCCTGGAGGGTGTTAACTGAGAGTTGGAAGGCCCCAGTTATTTGGGAGTACAAATTGTTCTTGAGACTTCTCCCCATTTTTCCAAGTTTTTTTCCTGAAACATTTGTGTCCTTGCTACTGCTCATGTTTAATGAGGCATGCTTATGAAATTGGAGACTTGAAAGGGCCAGTCTGACGTCTTTATCACGTTAATTTGTACATTTCTCTCATTAAGTAGCCCAAAGCTTGGGTTTGGGAAAAACCTGCATTTCTGGTGCTCTCCTTCAAGATGACAGGGCAGGTTTAGTAGCTGATTTTTGCTGAAATTCACTCGTTCAGACCCCTCTTTGAGATTACTGATTTCTCTATGCTGGCTGAAAATTTTCCACTTTTTATTGTCTGCTTTGTTGTGTTGTTTTGTTTTTGTTTTGTTTTGGTTGGTTGTTTTTATTTTTTTTTTTGGTGTTTTGGTTTTTTTGGGGGTTTTTTTGGTTATTTTTTTCTAATTTGAGTAGGCTAAATTTATTCAGTGAGGAAAATGTTGGGTATTGGGAGTTGAGGAAGGGGAGGAAAATCTTTCTTATGAGAGCAGCAAACCCAAAATTATCTTAACCCAGTATTTTCTGGTATTGTGGTTTTGGAAAGACTTTTAAGACTTTCGTGTCTTGATGATAGCAAGAGCGAGATGCTTTTGGAACTAGAATAGGTGTGTACTTTTAGTTCCACTTTACTGTGCAGGCTTTTCACTGTTACTTTGTTTACTAAAAAAGTTACTCATGGTCATTTTTCTTTTTCTAATTTATCAATGAAAATACTGAATGATATTGAATTTTTTAATAGGTTTTGAAGGGCACCCTGTGAACTACTTTTTGCTTCTGATACAAACTTCATTTATATCCTAGTGTTAATTTTTTTGACTGTCAAGCAATAGGTCAGAGTTTCTGAAAATCTAGAATATGTTTGCAGTTAATTTTGGAGATCAAATGTTATTTTTTTTCCGAAACAATCACTTCAGGGATCCTTTTAATAATTTGGTAAATAGGCCTAGGTGTGTTTAGATAACTAAATTAATCTTTCACTTTCTTTTGCATTCCTTTCCTTAATCTGAATTTCTTGCTACCCAAACTTGGTTTTTATTTTTGAATGCTGCTGCAACATATGCTCTTGGCACCTCTTGGAATTTCTCTAGTTCAGTTTTAATAAAAGCTGTCATGGTTGGCCATAGTGCTGGAAATATTTTCGAACATTTTGGTGCATTTGTCAGATTACTGACAGTTGGAAAGATTAGTGTTTTCTTTTTTTTTTTTTTTAAGAGACAGAATTGAAGTAGGAAATTCTTCTGCAGCCATTTCTGTTCCATAGACTCTCCTGTCTCTAAAAGAAAAGGCTGAAATTCTAGTCAGTTTGCTCTTTGGAATGTGTGATATGTCTTATCTCCCAGTTTTTGTTTAATATTCCATGGAGCACAAAACAATTGCTATTTGTTAATGTTCAGTCATTCCTGGACCTGTTTGTGATCAGTAATAGTAGATAAATTCTGTATACTGATGTTGATGTCCTATTTGGTGTATCATTTGGCTTATTTGGCATGTTTGGCTTATTTGGTGTATCATTTGTTCTTTCCTAGCCCACAAGAGTTTTACAGCCCTCACTACCCCTTCCCTCCTATGTTATCTCTACAGTAATTGGCTCTGAAAGAGATTGATCCATCTGAAAACCAACTGCTGTACATTTTGGGATTGTGCCCCCATTTTCAAGCATTTGCCATGTAGTCCTAAGGAACTCCTACACAAATTCCTTTCCAGTTCGTATAGGCTGTTCTCACTTGGGATGATTTGGGTTTTCTGTACTACCTAAGGGGTGGTGGGTTTTGTTTCTCTTTTTTTTTTTTTTTTAAGGTGGTCAGGTAGAGATAGTCTCTGAAAGTACAGCTCGAATTTCAAATCACTGGCATCTCATTGTAGTATTGATATGCATATTCTAATCCATGTTTGTCAGTAACAAGTAATTGTTTTTGAAGGGGAATCTGGTCATCCCTGTCACTAGATAGTCCTTTCACTGAAGGAGGAATGAAATTAAGCAGTTTGTCTGAAGTTTAGCTCACCTTGAATGTAGTTCCTTGCACTGAATTGTATTTATGGGGCAGTTACACTGTGATGGCAGAAGTGTTGTAAGCCAATATTTCTGTGCTTCCTGAGTTCTGGGGCACAAATATGGAACTGATGAAACATGCATTTGATTTTGTCACCCTACAAATGTGTGTTTGACCTTACCCTCAACTTGAGGAGGAGGAAATGAAGTATTTATGCAAGATCAAGGCCTAAGCCTGGCTTTCAGGATAGGTCCAGGCTCCCAAGCCAGGCAGCTTCCCAGGCTCCCAGCTCCTTGCTGAGTGCAGCTTGGGCCACATGGGGACCTGCAGACTGAGCCCACAGGACATTCCTGTCCCATGTCCTCCCTGGGGAGCTGGAAATCAGCAATTTGGAGTTTGGACAGTGTGTCCAAGTGGCCTTGGAGTGAAGGATCTACAATGGCTGTGTTTTGGCTGGCTGTGCCTGTTCCTATGTTGTGTTCAGTTGAGGGAATATGGAAAGGAGAGCATATAGAAATGAAGTGACTGTGCAATAGCAGACTTATTGAATATGTATTATCTGTTGTTTCACTGCAAAGTAAAAACCTTTTATTCCCTGAATGCTTTGCTAAAATAGGCTTTGTGCTGGCTTGGCAACAATCCTCCTTGAGGCAGTTTAAGGCATATGCCCTGTAAGGTTTTTGGGTTTGTTTTGTAAAGTTCAGCTTCTTAAATTGGTTATGTTTTGCAGTGAACTTGATGATGACTTGCTTGGAGAGGATTTGCTGACTGGAAAAAAGGTAAGAGATGTGCATTAAAGTGAATTATTTCAGATATTAAAGTGTGAATGTTGTTCAGCTTAGACAGTTCAGGTGTTTGGTTTGACCTCATGTATTTTACAGTCACCTCCCCAAAGCACAGCCAGAGGTACCTGAGGTCTGCCTTACTGCCAGAGCATTCTGCACCCAGGGCTTTGGTTCCTTTTGTGAAATACCTCCAAGTGTGACTTTTTAAAATAAAACTTAGCGAAAAATTTCTTTTCAACCCAGTTAGGTCTCCTGAATGCTAATTATCATGATGGAAAATTTAATCCAAGTGTCACTTTCCTGGCTGTTAAAAATCACTTGTCAAAATACCAGCAGTATTTACCAGAGAGGAAATCAAAAAGCAGTCATTGTTGGCTGTGAAAGTTCACACTCAGTGTGCATGATCTGCTACCTTGTTGTCTGATGAGGAAACATATTTTCCCCCTTTAAAGTGAGGGGAAAAATATGTCAGCAGCTAAAACTGGGAAACATAAACAAGTTTTCCCCATGTCTGCTATAGACTCTTCCTGCTGGTACCTATTTCCAGTTTTGAACTCTGGGAAAAGAGCTAAATTTACCTTTGGATTTGCCAGATATTCATAGGAGAAGACATGTTTGAGAAATCAAATTGACAGATCACCTATTTCTATATTTTATCTTTTAAATGAACTAATTTTGAAAGTAGTTTTTGAAGTTCCAGTTGGAGATGAATAGGTTGTTAAGAAACCCAGCTCTATATTAAGAGTTGAGTTTTATATATTGTAGTTTTTTATAACCATCTTCTAAATGTTGGAAGTTAGCTTCTTGAAATTATTATAGCTTCTGTAACCATTTCCTATTAAAGATAGGAGGTTCCTTATTCTCATGTGCTGGTTTAAAGAGGATACAATTCCAGGAGGATAATGATTGCAGATGTTTGTTACACAGTTACCAAAACCAGAAGTGGTTAATAATCAATGGAGGTGATAAAGCTACTTACTTATCTTTAAAAATTATATATGTGAATGCTAACCAGTACTTGATTCTCCAGTGTATTCTAGTTTTTTGTGCCTTTTTTATTCTGTTTAATTTGCCATGTTACAGGGCAGTATCTGTGGGTATGGACTCATGTGAAAGTTTTCCCCGAGTTATTTAGGCTAAACTTCCTTCTATTTAATCTCATCCCAGTATACTTTTAGATAAATCTATCTTTGTGTAACCTTGCTGGCCCTATTACTTTAGAGGTTGGAAATGTTACTCAGCAGAACTGCAGTTATCTCTCCCTAGGGGGTAATTATTTAAAAAAAGAAACAACTGAAAGTTGTTTAATTTGAGAGAAATTCGGAGGTTTTTTCTTCTCTTACAAAGTAATCATGATTTTTCAGTTTTCTTTATTATATCCTTTCTTCCAGTCTCCTATTTCTTCTCTCTAGAAATTGCAATTCATGTGTTTTCTGGACTTGTCTAATGTATCAAGGTCACAAGGCTGTGTACAAGAGCTAACCTTTCTTCCTTCCTGGTCTGTCTTAAGTGAGGTGTCATCTTTGGCCATATTTGAGAATGCATCAGTGAAAAAGAAGTGTTGATAGACAAACAAATTTGAGTTCTGTAAATTTCCTTAGGATTGTCAAAGATGTATTTTAAGATTTGTGATCTTGTGTTGTGTGATTTTTATTGTTGAATTATGTAATTTCTTTGAAGATATGGTCTTAGTTTGGGATGTATTCTTCATAAAAAATATTTAGCCTTCAGTACTTAGTTAAGTTTGTATCTTTTGTGTTCATGATTGACTTTTTTTGAAACCTAGAATCAGTCAGACTTGTCAGATGAAGAGCTGAATGATGATCTTCTGCAAAGTGACAATGAAGAGGAACAAGAATTTCGGTATTTCTTTTTTGAATCTTGTCTTGGATAACTCAAAGCTATGAATGACTCCTATTACTGATAACTAGTAACTACTAAACTGAAGTTATTGGTATATACTTAAAATAGTTTTGCTTTTTACCTAGCCAGCTACTTAGTGATTAGTAGCATTGTTAACATTTCAGTAAAATTATTTCTTGTTAATTTTGATCTAATAAATTTATTCAAATTTCTTAAAAGCTTATAAGAAGAAATAGTGTCATCTGCTGTGCATATAGAATTAATTATAAGCACTTACAGGGCTTTCTTTGCTGCCTCAGTATTGCTTACTGTGGTAAGCCTCCTTCTGATGCCAGATGTTTTTTTGCCTTTTCTTTAATATATCAGTTTTATGTATCCTCAGTACACTTAGCATGCATACTTGTAATTCCTTAAGTCTGATAACTTATCATAGTCCTAGTGTTCTGTTAGGCCAGGAGACCAAACATCCTGAAGGCCTTGTAGTAGGAGGCTGGAAAACCCTACACTATCTTGGGAAACCAAGGTCCTCTCTGGAATGCATCATGTAAATTGGAGATTTGGCCCAGCCAGAGGGGAGTTCCTTGGGGTGGGAGAATATCACACTATTCATTCAAACCTCTCATTGGGGCATCTTTGTTAGATATGCTGATTTGTAAGGTCTGTAAATTCTATATGGGATCTGTCATGTGCTGTGTGCATTTTGGTACATTCCACCTTGGTGAAGTGATGCACCATAAGGATCCTTATTAAATACCAAGGTAAAAACCCTTTATCCCTTAACTGTGGCTGGCTCTTAATTTTAGAGGGACCAAGGGAAAGGCATCATTCCTATATAGTCCTTTTCTGCCATCTTTCTTTTAAAAATCTATCTTACCTCCTAAGACTCTGAGGAAGGCAATTTGTGACTTAAATATTTGTGTGCAATTACATAGCAAAAAATTTTGAACAGACTTAATAGGATTAAGGCATTTCCATGGGAGTTTACTGAGAATCCTGCCCTGTGAATACACTGTAGTAATGCAGTTTCTCAGCTGAATTATGGGCATTACAAGTCAAAATGAGTGTCTTGTTGTTTTTGCTTCTCAAGCTGGAGTGAAGTAGGAGAGAAAGTGCTTGTAATGCCAAAGTGATGCAGTGCCATTGCTGCTTTTACTGGCCTGTTTTTCCAGCTTTCCCTTATTGCATGCTGTGCAGGGCATGTCATCTGAAGGGCTGTGAATGTATGTATATGTGTAACATACATAGATCTCCATCTCTGAGATCTCCTGTATTAGCTGTGATTAGGATAAAGACTCTAGTCCCTATGTTGTACTGATGAGGATGTGATAAAATGCTCCACCATCAATCTCTTCATTGGCTGCCATTTTCTCCATGCAGGAGGGAGGGTGGGACTATTCCCTTCAAGAAGGGGAATCCCAGTTACAGTTCTTGGCTGTTTTTTTGCTGTATGCCCTCCTTGAGACACCTGGGTAGCAGAGATGGCTGTGTGACCAAACACAGTGGTGATAAAACATCTCAAATGTGATAATATTGCTCAGTGGAAGCAGGTTTCTGTAGAAAACTTTTGCATTTTTAGCAGCTTTATTGCCAGAGAGAGCCTTTCCCTTGCCCTTATGTTTCCTGTCAACCTCGTGTTTCTGTAGTTGGGAGGATAATGATAATCCTGCATAATGTCTTCACTTTTGTTTTAAATCTTCTTTCTCTTAGAGATGCAAATAGCTCAAAGCTGCCTGGGTCTTGTTCCCCCAAACTTAAGAAAATGGAGAATAATAGGAATGTTATTTAAAAAAAAAATCTTTGTTTTCCTTATACACAGAGCTCTCAAATCAAGAACTAGTCTGCTGTTGGTTAGTTGCTTTTTTATGTTGATGGCACTGGCTTTTGTAAACAGTAAACCCTGAGCTTTGCTTTGCCTGCCTGAAGATTATAAACTTGCCATTTTTTCTATTGTTTTTTTTCAGTGTCTGTGCTGGTTAAGAATGTCTTAATGATTTACATTACAGTTTTGACTATTTGTTTTATATTAAGTAGAATATTAAATCTATCATAAAAATGCAAGTTTGAATTCAATAATCAAGAATGAACAATGTTAATACATTTAGTAAAAAGTGTTTTACTAGTGTATTCTGAAAGATTAGGAAAATAGATGCAGTTATAGTCATTTTTTGTATTTTTTTTTTGTTATTCTTGGAATTAAAATTGAATCTGGTCTGCTTTGGTTACCAAGCAGGACTTTTGCCAGTTTGACCTGCTAAACCATCTGGTTGGTTTGATTCCCCTGGTCAAATAGCCTGCAGCTGGTGATAAGCAGCATTTTAGTATGCATTATGAGAATGTGGCATGGAGTCAGACAGTATATGGGGTATAATTCTATCCACCAACTTGGAGATTTTACATTTGTTGGCTTTGTTTTGCTGAATCTTTGTGAGTAGTTGCCAGTTAGACTTGAGCCTCTGAATTGTGCCCCTGTCCCCCAGCTCTCCAGGTGTCACAGTGAGCCTCAATGCCACATCTGGGATCCTGACATCGTACGAGTCCATCAACGACCCCTCCCTGGAACACGAGTCTGAGTATGACCAAGGGGAAGATGAAATTGGTTATGACAAATCTGAAGCACCTGAAGAATATGCCTCAGAGTATGCAGAGGAAGGACATTATGAAGGCAATGATCCTGAGCTGACAGAAGACCAAATAGAATATGGGGAAGAGCCTGGAGAAGAAGATGAAGTGCTAGACCTTGAAATCAATGAACCCCTAGATGAATTTCCAGTGAGTTTCCTTCTATTGTATCTTCAAAGATAACATTGCTTCACGTGCATAGGGTTTTAGACTGATTTAAAATCTGTTTACCTCCCTGGGGAGGAGGGGAAATTAGACCTATTATCACTGTCTGCCAGTTTCTTTATCTAGGCTGTGACAAAGTTTGTGTTGACAGCTTGTTTGGCGGTAGGTAATGCTCCTTTGTCATGCTGGAAAGCAGTTGAGAATCATGACCTTGAGGGTTGTATCCTTAAGGAAGAAAACTGCTTTGTGTGGTGGAGATACACTGCCAATTGTTAGAAGTACTTAATGCAAAAGCTTTTATCCAGGCTTTAGACAAGATCTGATAAAGTCCTTCCAAGGTGAAAAGATTATTGACCTGCTAAAGACATCTTTAAGGTGCTAATATCCCAAAGTGATTGATGTCCTGCTTGTTCATCCTTTTTGTAACTGAGAACTGTCTAAACCTGAATAAAGAGATTGGAGGTTAGTTCAGAAAATGTCACCTGCATAATTCAATATAATTTAAGCGGCATATTAGGGAACATGCACTGACTTTAATTGTTAATGAAATGATTTTATCTTAATCAAAACAGTATGTGATCAGTGAGGTGTTTGAAAAATACAAGCAAACTTAAGCAAGATTTTGCTTTTGTTTTATGTCCATAATTTTTCAGAGTTGAACCCATGCATATGTAAGCCTTTGCAGAATGCTTTAAGAATGTTTGTATTTGATGGGGTGAAATCTGATGTTAATGTATATGTGCTGTGGCCAGAAAGTCCTGCAGTGTTTGCTTCGTGAATTTGTAATCAGTGGATGCAAATGTATAGAAGTAGTTGGGACAAACAGTATTAAATGGGATCTTTATGATGACATTGCTGGGATATGAATGGAAACTGTTTTGGTTTTGATAATTTTGAAATCGCTGTCTAGTTAAAAGCCCCGCTGATTATGCTGTATGTGTGCTGTATGTGTATATCACTCACAGTTTACTGTTCCCAGAGATGCAATACTTCTCTTCCACTCTGGAAGCTGCAGCAATGCAGTCAGACCCCACCTATTCATTGGCCTTGTGTTTTTTCACCCTCCTGTTTACTGCTTTAGGATGAAGATTACATGCAATCATATAATGAGCAAGCAATGGAAGAACAAGGAGAGTATGCAGCTGATGAGGAGTTGGAAGAAACCCAGACAATGGCTAATGAATCAGAAGAGGTATGTCATGAATTTAATGGAAACTTTAAATAACGAGTTCTGTTACAATTTGATTTTGTAGAATTGTACATAGAATCATACATAGAATTGTGCTGGATAAGAATTGATGCAACTTTGCCAGTGTTGAATTATTGGTGGTAGTACTCAATGTATAAAATGAATTGTGATAGCATCTATATTGTCAAACATACCAGATCCCCTCTCCCCTTGGGATTAGAATCATAAGGGAAAGCCCAAAATGTGCATATTTAGTTTTGACTTCAACATTAGAAACTTCAGGGGCCCATTTGGGTAGGAAATGACAATGATACTGCACAGTCTGTTAAATCTCCAAGAGCTGTGGTGCTTCCCTTTCCAGATGGATCATTGTTGCTGGTGGGATGTACATGCAGTTCTTGGGTATCCCCCTTTGAGGGAGGGGGTGTAAGCATGGAAAGTTTGGTGTTTTGGACAGGCAAAGAGATTGCTGTTTTGAAAGTTGTGTTGAGACTGAAATTCCTGTGAGATTTATCCTCTTCAGTGAGGAAAATGGATGAGTTCCTTCATTTGCAATAAGAAAGCTTATAGTAAAGTCTGCCAAGTATGCATTCACTAATTATAGCCTGGTAGTGATGCCTAAAGGTTTTTTAGCTTTTTATATATTTTTCATATATCTACAGCCTTGTAGATTTTTAATACGTATTTGTGTAGGTTCTACTATTTTTCCCTGCCCTCTCTCACAATTTAACAAACCCTACTTTACATTCTTGAAATTCTGTTTAGTCTTATTCTTAAGAAGATAATTCCTGACAAGGACATCTTATGTTCTACCAGAACCTAGGAGACATAACAAGAAAAAAGGGAAGGAGTCCTTGGACCAACTGACCTAGGGCTGGGTTACTGGCATACCTGATTTCCTAATGGATGTACTGGCTAGAAAAACTAATTAATTAACCTTATAAAAATTATAGAAATCCTGTATCATGCATGTGCAATGCCATATTTTGTGCATCTGCAGCTTTCATAAAAGAGTTGCTTTTTTATCTTACCACTTCAACTATGTTGCAAGGTTTTTCCTTTTGTTATTAGGCAAGAGTATCACAACCATTTTTAATTTGCAGCAAGTTTTTGATGTAAGATTTTTTTATCCTTTCCCCACCAGGAATCTCCTTTAATATTACTTTTATTCCAGTTCTTAATTAAATAGGATTGAATGGATTACCTGCTGAGAAGTGTAGTCAGAGTGTATTTCCTCTTTGGAGCTTTAACTCATCAGGAAATTAATTCCTCAAAGACACAGCAGCATTACTGTATGAAGTTCTCACAACTGGATGTGCTGTGATGCTCCAGTTGTAGCAAACCTATCTTGGTAAAACAACATTTTTTGGTGGGTGATCTGCATTGAAAGGGACCACCTGCATCCTTCAGCCTCCACTGTTGCAAGTGTAACATCTTGCACAAAATACACATTCATGTCGTTAATTTCCTGCTTCCCAAGTGTTAAATCGGCCCTTCAAAAGAGCTGTGACATTCTTGAACACTTTTTATTCCTTCACTGGATTGATACACATTTTTGTTTTGATGTTTTGGAGGTGAACTGATGCATTTGTGGTGTCTGCAGCCACACTCTGAGATGATGGACACAATGCACATCATGTAAAATTAAATGCATAGCTGGGACTCAATGCCAAACTTATTGCTGTAAAAAACCACAGCTTCATTTTGGGAATGAGAATTCTCTAATATTCACATTGTCTGAATTTGTCTAATTCAGAATTAAATGTGTTTAATTCAAAAGGTACCATTGATGAAAGTTTTAAATTTGTTTTGTAAAGGAGGCTTTTATGGAATTTGTTCATCATATATGGTGAATGTTTTGGCCATATCTTCAGTTACTCTACATTTTGGCTTTATTATCATGGTTTGTAGACTTTCACAGGTTTCTTTTTTCCAAAACCATGCCATCTTTTTGTTACTTTATTATTTTGTATGGATCTTAGTTCCATTTGGCAAGTAGGCTCACAGTTGCACTCTCTAAAGAATGGGAGAGAACCTTTCTAGAGTATTCACTTCTGTTTTTGCATGGTTAGATGCCTGCCTCCAGCTCTGAAGAGTTCTGTTCTTTATTCAAGATTTAAATAACAGCACTTTTCCTTAAATCTCATAACATTCAATGCTTGTAAACAGGGGTAAGGGTTGGCATTCTCCTGCAACAAAAGAGTGGAGCTGTAATGGATCTGGTACAAAGAAAGAACATTATTATCCCTTGGTTGAAATTTGGCATCTGAGTAACAGAGAAGGATGTTGGGTGTTTTATTTTGAGTAGTTACCACATTAAAACCAGCTAAAGCCTCTTACTATATTGCATGAAGAAATAAGAAATCTTTTTGTAAACCAAGAGAAAAGCTGACTGGCTGGGGAATTGGAATGTGATGGGGGAAACATGTGAATAAGGGAGGTGAGACAATTGTTACAAGTGGCATTCAGGTGGGAGAAGTGAGGAATAGGCAGGTAGAGTTTGTTTTTGAAACAGTGCTCAAAATTGCAGAACTTGAATTTTAAATAAACAAGTCTCTGTGACTTCCTTGAAAAATGTAGCAGTGCTTCAGAAAATATTTTTGTCTTCCTGAGGTATAAAGCAAAACCCAACACCCAGAAGTTTCAGCAGCAAATAGGTGTGACAGAACAGCCACATGAAGTATCATGTCCTAAATATTTTAGAGGGAAAATATCACTAATTGCTTCTGTGAAGTGTTCATAAAAGTTAAATCTCATGAAATTAGAATTCATAATGTCTTTGTTTTATATTGAAAGTAATCTGTGAAGTCAGTGGTAGAGGATTTTTATCATTCCATAATTTAAACTGTGTCTTGGGTTATGCTGATAAGAAGTGAAGAGTACTTTAGTCAAGAAAGCATTTCATGAAGAAATGCTGCATACTGCTTTTCTTTTGATAGAATAAAGGCTTGGGGAAAAAAAAGACCCATATGTCTTTTTTTTTTGTAGACAAAATAACATATTATGTCTGATATGTTGCATCTGTGCTTAGCCAAAACTTCTGCACTTCAGTTCTGTTGGTCGGGTTTGAAAACACGACCTGCCAGCCTGGAGGGAAGTGGTGAAAAGAGTGCAAATCAAACTAGCCAATTTTTAAACATATTATAAGGCACTTAGATTTGTTTTTCAGTTCCATTTTTCATCTGTAGAATCGAGGTGCCCTTGGAATAGGGATAATCTCCTCCTATCTGCCCTACTATTTCCTGATCCCCTGGGATTGAACAACTGCATGTTCTTCAGTGTTAACCTGTAGCAGATGCCTCCACTTCCTTTTTTATGGCTTGTTAGTATAAGTTCTTTGTTTCACCTTTAATTTAGTTGTTTTTGCACATCTTCTGAATGTCTGGCACCAAGTTCTCCTGAACACTTTGGGGGTATCCCATGTCTGGGTGGGGGGCATCCCATCTTGGGGAGGATCATGCTGTGTCAGTGTTTGTGCAGCATCCCTTGGGCTGTGTCTTTACATTCCTGCAGCTGCCTGTAAGCTGCTCAGGGCAGGAGCACTCAGCCCTTATCCCAGCAGATCATAACCCAGTGTGAGGAGTCCTGCTCAGTGGCTTTTAGTGGGATTTAGGGCACAGTTATTGAATGAGGATGGCAGGAGCCCCTGACCTCGTGGCAGAAGAAAGGTCATTCTGGTTCTGTGTAAGGGTCAGCAAAGCTCTTTGGTAGCTTTGTGCAAGGTGTCATAGTGGGAAATGTAAAGCTCCCTTTGGGAAGCCTGGGCTGGTGAGTCCAGTCCAGTGACCTCAAGTGGCCATTCAAGGACTGCTAATATCTATGCAGAGATATTCATGATTAGCAGGTATTAAAGCCAATCCTGTAAGTAATAGTATGGCTTAATTCTGTGTCTGCAGTTGTGTCTTTTAGAAACACAGAATCCATTCATGCTGTATCTTGGCAAAACAGCTTCTTCTGTTCAGCTGGAAGATGGAAAAGATCATGTAGGAATCTTGCATTTTCCAACTGCAGAACAAACTGCAAGGGAAGGGTGTGTGCTCCTACCCTGCTCAGCCAGCCTTCCCTGGAGCTGTGTGGAGAGAACATATGGGTGGCTGTCACACATGTTTGGGTCTCCATTGCATAAATCCCTCAATAAAAGGTGTAATGGGTGTAATCAGATTTGGACATGGGTCAGTTACCATTCTCCAGCACTGCCTTGCCTTGGTGCCTGCTTTTTCATTGGCTCCTTTGATATTTTTTGTCTTTGATATTTAATGCTTGTATGGCTGTTGCTGGTTAATGGGTGGCATGAACATTATGCTGATGAATAAAGTGAGTCAGAACAAGGCTTCAGAATTGGTATGAATGGGTAAGAGTAGAATAATGCCAATCTAGAAAAGTTTGGAATTTTTTTTATTGTTCTGTAGGTAAGTAGTCGTCTGATAGTCTGCCAGAAATTGGGATATTTTCTTTTTAGAGTAGTTTTTTTTTCCCAGAATGAATAATTGTCAAAATGCAACAGAGTTTCAGGGTTTTTAATAACATTTCATTAAAACATAGCAGAAGTTTTAAGGACAATGTAGACTTCATTACCCTTTCTAGTTCTGATTCTAAAGTTTGAGCTACACATAGAGCTTTGCATGATTAAGTTTAGCACTCACAGATGAGATTACAGGACTGAGACCAGTCTTTGATTAATAAAAACCAGAATTCCAGTGTAGCTTTTAAGGGCCATGGATGTGTCTGGGGTTTGTGCTTTAGAGTAAAACAGGAGGCTCAGTGTAGAGTAAGCATGTCTTGCAAAACAGCTGCTCCAGTTCTGACTTCCAAATCCTGATCCTGAAGGAAAAGTTTCTAAAAAGAAGTAAGACAGTAAAATTATGGAGTTTGTGATATTTATGAAAACACTGATTTAATAGAGATATTGCTTCTCCTTGCTCTTTTGGGAGTCCCTCTTTTCAAGTAAAATGCCAACCCTGTCTTTCTCTTGGTTTTGTTTGTTTTCATTAAACCATGTTAGCATCTCTTTCCTTGCTAACATCCCTCCTCTGTTCCACAAGTATCAAATGCTTGCTCTCAAAGGTGTTTTGATTATATGTAGATATGTTAATTAGATGAGTTGTGCTCAGTTTGGGTTTGCTTTTGAGGTTTGGATTTCTTTCAGTCTAGTTGAAGGTGTTTTTTTTCTCCTGTTTTGCCTGTTGTTTTTACCTGCTTTTTTTAAATATGATAAAGCTGTTACACCAAAATAAATATATCTGTAACGTGCAAGCCTTAAAACCTTTTGTAAAACTGGACTGTTCTCTTAGCTATATATCTTAAAGCAGTTTTGTGAGGTCAGGAAATGGAATGTTTAAAAGTTTGTCTGGAATGTATAACACAACTTGGGATCAGTAGCCCATTAAAGGCTTGTAACTAAGGACACAGATCATTTATTCACCCGACCCAAGCTGGAGTAGCTTTGAGCTTGAGTTTGTCAGGTTTGCTGTCTTTTTTAAAGCAGAAACTGTTTGCCAGGTCACCCTGTCTCTGATCTTGCTTCACACATTTTTATTTTGGTTATGGATGAAGTTAGGCTGCTGGATAGGGAAATTTGCAATCTCTTGCACAATTATGCTATTAATTCTTTCTTGATCTGTGATTTAATATCTGTCCACCTGACTGTCACACTTGCTATGCCTTTCTCATATAAATTTCTGCACTGATCTGGTTAATTAGAAGATTAAACCGTTTTTGCATGTTAGATTTGGCTCATTTTTTAACTGTCCTCAAGCAGCATTAAATTTATGATGTATTTAGTGGCTTTGCATAGAATTAAAATGCATATGCATTTTAATTTAACAGGCTCTAAGAAATGAACAAGTAGGCTTGTACAAGAAATAATCAAATATGCAGCAATCAAAAATTTTTATGGAGAATCACATGATATTAGAACACTTCTAATGCTGTAGAAATCCAGTATAACTTGTGTAACACTCTGGACATTTTCATCAGGCCTACATGCAAAAATGAATTTTTTTTTTTTACTTCTATTCATTTGAAGGAGAGGGACCCATTTTCATTTGGATCATTGTTTTATTTAAATAAATGTTTTCTGTTTTAGAGAGAACTGGAAAATAAATTCTAGAAGCATTCCAATAGCATCCAGAATACAAATGTAGTATTTTCAAATTTATCCAATCCTATTCTTATTCTCCCCATCAATTACTGAATTGAAACTGGGAAGTATTTGAAGAGCAAAGTAAAGGCATACATACCCAGAGGAATGGGATTGAGATACAAGGTTATCTTTGTTTTTGGTTGGTTAGGTTTATTTAACAGTATGGTACTGACAGTTGTTAAAAGATGAAAAAAAATAGGATTTTACTGTTCCTGTTATTTGAATCTGGTAGTAACCAAAGTTTGCATCATAGTCAATTCAGTGATAAAAATCTGTGTGCAGAAGTACCTGCTAATCAGATGGAGGTTCTAACTGGACTTTCAATAATCCCTTAAATATTAGAGCAAATTTATTTTCTAAATACATTTTACTTTATTATTTATTATGTAGTAAAGATATTTTTATTAAAAAAAAAAAATCACCAACTCTTAAATGTTCCCTGAATTATATATGAGCACAATGTATGATGGCAGCAAAATTTGTAGAAAGGGCCTTTTAAAGAAAGCTTGCTTTTGATACTGTTTACAAGAGACTTGGTTTTTTGAGGCTAAATGTCCTCTGGTTTTTGTGATTTAGGCAGCTATTGGGTCTCTGGAACTTCAAGAAGAAACAAAAGAAGAGTCTGATGAGGAGGAGGATGATGATGAAGAGTCTGGACGATTACGTTTCAAAACCGAACGGAAAGAAGGAACCATCATCAGGCTCTCAGATGTGACAAGAGAAAGGAGAAACATTCCAGAAACTTTGGGTGAGGCTTTGTGGCAATGGATTGTTTTGCAGGGCAGTAATGAATGGTAATAAAAGGCAAAGGGTGTTTTAGCTGAGGTGCATTCCAAATGGGTTTGCAACCATGAGACCATATTTCTACAAACCACATAGAGACTGTATCTTGTTTATACAAAAGGTGTTGGTGGATTGAAAAAAAGAGAATATTTTAAAAACAAGAGTGCACTGGAATAACTAAATTTCTGCACATATTGTAAGGTAAAGGACAATTGCATTTGTTCTCATATATCTGTGGATTTATTCTTTAGTTTAATATAAAAACAAGACCAGCCAATACGGAGAAAACCTTCTAGTGGAGGTTGACTGTTAAAGGAGCAGTGATTTGAATTAGACTTTTAAATGTAATTCTAAGTGATCTGGGATGCAGCTCTGAGATATAAGGAGAAGATGAGGGCACATGTGGATGATCCTATAAAGAGGTTTTTAAACCAATGTTTGGCGAAAGCACAATATTGCTGTTGTGAAATGGTTTCTCTTCATACTACTTTTAATTATTTGTTGATAGAGACCAGATAACTGACCATGTGGTAGAAGGTTAAACCACAAAAAATTCTGTTTGCATATATAAATATCTGCTTCCTTTTAAGATTATAAAGCAAATTTTTACAGCTGCTATAGTTTAAAAATGAAATTTCATTGCAGACCTACATCTTCTTACTCTAAAATATGAACATAGTTCAGAAAACACTTAAGGAGGAATTAACATTTCAGTTGAAGTTACAAACGTAATTTCCATCCTGTCACATTTTGGTGACCTTTTGTGACAGCTTGTCTCTATTGGAGGAGTGCATTCTTACTTACTGATTAAAGATGTCATTTGAAACCATTTTATTACCAGCAATAGTGAAATTAATCTTGACACTTAGAGACACTAGAAAAATAATTGCTGATTCACTGCATTAACTGTGTGTGTGAGAACGTACCGTCAAGATGAGACCAAGTTTGTGCTGGTAAAAAAGATGTAAAAATACAGTGTTCTCAGTAATGTAGCTAAGATCTTTCCTAAACATTTATTCATCCAAGATAATGTAAAGAATGGATTTTCAAAGTTCAGAAGATGGGTATTGTAGGACAGCTCTGCAATTGATTTCTAGCAATACCAAGTTTGTCACCTTTGATAAGAAGTACATTATCTTCTTTTAGTGCCTGTTGGTGAAGCCTTCTTAGAGTGGAAATTGTCATTATTCTCTGGAGGCAGTTAGATCTTAAGGAAAGTGAAGAGGAAAAATGTCTTTGGTATTACCAAACTAAAGTATTCCTTTTCTATCTAATCAAAAATACACAACTCAAAGCCTTAGACTTCTGCAGAACCAATTGCAAAGTGCTAACAAAGGTCATTTGGCTGTGGCAGTACTTCTTGTTATGCCCTGCTTAGTTGGCTTATGTTCACTGTGATGCCTCATGTCTGAGATTTCAGGCAGGGCTGAGAAGTTAAGGTGAATGTTCTGAATTTGTCCAGTTGCTCTGTGTCCAGAAAGCACAGAGTATAATCAGTTTGCAGATCTGGATGATGAGGAGAAAAGAAATGACAACAAATTGCATATATATGTAAATGAATATGTGTTTGTAGTTGTGCATGTGTTCTTAGCCAGGGAGGAGCTGTATTCATGTGAATGAACACCTGGCTGTGCTTTGGAAGAGCCCAGGGAGGGAAGGAGAATCTCTTCTTCCTCTGCTCATCCCCTCTTTTCTTGAGCAGTCTGAGGTTGCTTTCAGGGAAACAGGGACTGTTTCTGTTGCTTCCCTCCTTGCAAAACCATCTCCCATGCCTTCTGCTCTGCTTGATCTCTGTGTGTGGGACACAGTGCTCTCAAATTCAATATGCAGCCCCCCTCATAGTAGAGCTGATGATATTTTGATGTGTGGTGGGTGATATGTAGCTACATGCAGCACTTGAGGTGCTCATGGTATCTGTCTTAACTTCTGCAAGAGGGTTCTGAACCTGCACTTAGGTGTCTAAGCAGTGGCATGTTGTGGAGGAAATATACTTGATGTAATCATCTTATTTTTAAAATCCAGTTGTTATATTGTACTTCTGTGGTCATAGGTGTAGTATAAATGTGAATTTGTGTGTGGTTTTGTTTGGGATTTTTTCCAAAGTTGGCCCCTACTCTGGCTGAAAAATTGAGAGTGTGAGCTGTGCCTTTAAGGCCTTAAAAATTTGAGAAATTTTATGTAAAGTGAGGAGGAAAACAACTTATGTATTTTAAAGGGAGTGATTCTGCACATCCAAGATTGACAGACTTGACTTTGCATGGATGCTGTCATCCCTTCCCCAAGCTTAATCAGCACAGTGCTCTGAAGTAATTGTGTTTGGAGCAGCTCATTCTTGTGTCTATTCAGTGTCCTCCAGTGTGTGCTCAGGAGGCTGAGAGACTTGGCCACAGTCTTGCTTTTTAGGAAGCCTAGCTCTGTTCCCAGGTTCATTAAAAATTGCTTTCTCACATGTGATTTCTAAGCTATTTAATAGGAACTTGCTTCTTATCTTGCTTGACCATCATTGGTAGGTACTTGTTGCAATGACTGAACTTTATTTTCCAGATTCCAGCCTTGCTGAGTTCAGGGTTGTAGTGTGGAAGATGTCAGAGAAATTGTCCTGCCTGTCCTATTTCTGGGAGAACAAAACAACTGTCCAAGCAGCAGAATGCTCAGGATGCCCTGCAGGACTTGGATCATTTCTGGATAAGGGATAGAGAGACTCTTTTGCAGCATAGTGGCACTATTTTCCCTCTTGAATGTAAGGAGAGTAGGGGTCTGTCTTTCAGGCAGGTCAAGTCAAAGCCCACATTTGCCCTTCCATGTTTGTGGGTTTCTGAAGAAACACTACTTGCTTCAGGTGTGGAGAGGAAGAAGACCTGAAGTAACAGCTAGATGGTTTTTCCCATCTAACCAGCATTTTTGATCCCTGGCAGCCAAAGGTGGCTATGGCAGTTGTTTTACTTGCATCTAATGTTTTTAATTGCTTTGGGCAAGAGTACATTTCTCTTAATTTTTGTCAGAAATGCACATTTCATACTAAGACTTGAGTGACTGTGGTTCCTTCCCTCATTCTAAGCATTCTGTAAGATTTTCCTCATAAAGCCTGATTGTCTTGGGCTCTGCTATGCCTTGAGGGCAAAGGTTGCATTTCATAAGAGTATTTGTTATGCCACTCAATTGTGGTGTCAGAGTGGAGAGAAAAGGAGGTAGAGAAACTTGTCTCATCACCAATGTGCAAAAATGAAATAGGAAACTTGGGCAGATCCTGGGCTTTTAGAAGTCTGTCCTGTTTGCTGTGTTCTTACAGGCCATCAGCAAGTTCAGAACTTGTAAAAATTGAAAAGCTCCTGCTTTGTGGAGGTGCTGAATACTTCTGAAAACTGGGACATGCAAATTTACAGTCTTTGCAGCTCAGTCATGCAGGTAGTTTTTGTAGCAAAGTAAGAGCAACTGCCGCAGAGGGAATGCTCAGTGCTCACCCTTTTCTGCCCTTCTGTCAATCCTCAACTTCAAAGACTAACAGAGATTACTTATGAAGATGTTAAAGATGGTGGTGATTTAAGTAGCTTTGGCCTTTAGACTCACAAGAAATTGTTAGAGTTTTCTAATTGATTTAGTTATATATTCTTTGGAGAGGATATCTCATGGTGTGGAGACATAGTAGTAATGTCTCCTGCCAGATACTTATTACTTCAATTCTGATATTATGGCCACTGTGTGTAGTGTTGACAAGTAATTACCATATTAATTCAAAATATGCTAAAAACAAATACACTCGTGACAAATAAAAGTAGTTTAATTTTGCATTGTTAGAGGCAGAAATCAATATTAGGGTAACAAAGGATCTGACTAACATGTGTCAAAAGATTCAGCTGCATGTTTGAGTTAAAGTTTATTACCCCTTGTCAGTGAGTGAAACCTGGTGAGTGGTTCTGCTTATACTTTCATGGTGGGTTTTCTGAAGTCTGTTGTAGACCTGTTCTGTGATTTCAATACCTGGGTCTATTACTGCGTTATTTCTTGCTTAATGTCATCAGCACTATCCAAAGGTTTCAAGCAAATTTGTCATCTTTGCTGAGTACCAGGTGTTTTCTGGTGTTTACCTGTGGTGTGAGTTGGGTGGGTGTTATCAGCACCATATGGTTGACTTGAACTGAGCACAGATTTTAATGTGTGCTCTCTCTTCAGTGGCATTACTACTTGTGAAGTACAGTTGGTTCTTAAACCACATACAGTAAAACAAATTAAGTATTTATGTACTAGAAAGACCTCAGCAAGCAGAATGTTCTTCTTTGGAATAGACCAATGTGCAGAAGAGTCTGGTGCATAAAATCTGTTTATATGGAAGACTCAGCAGATCTTTTACTGTAAAGTTTGCTGCAGATTCATTGTCTTGCCTGATATGTGCAGAGACGTGAGATGTTAAAGATAACAAAACTTTGAGGGGAGTCTAAGCCTCCTCTTAGAGCAGAAAGGCAGACTTCAATACCATCTTGAAAAAGAAAACAACCAAACCTTTTTGTTCATGTTTGTTTCATTTATCTGCTGGTTTTTGCCTGTGCAGAGGACAGAAGTATCTGTGCTTTTTCCTTTTAAAGGTGTCTTTAACAAAATGTTAACATGCCACCTAAAGGAGATCAAAGTGCCTGCAAATTTTGTTAGTTGCAGGGATTCTTCTGTAGTTCTGGCAGTGTTCTATTTGTCAATGTGTGTTCCACCTTTTCAGCACAAAGCTGAAATAATTTTCCCCATTTCTCTCCTAACAGAGCTTTCTGCAGAAGCCCAAGCAGCACTACGTGAGTTTGAAGAGAGGGAGAGGCAGCTTAAGCAGGGGCGATACGGCTCCAGGAGAGGAGGGAGAAGAGGAGGCTCAGTGATGTGCCATGGAATGGGAGATCAAAGGAGAGACAATAATGATAGGGGAAGAATGAAGGATCACAGGCCTGCACTGCTGCCAAACCAGCCATCAATGGTACCTTTCAATCCTTAGTATTCTTTGAGCATCCTTGCAGGAAGTTGTGGAGAAATGCATTTTAAATCGTGAATCTTTGCAAAGATGGGATATATATTCCAGTGTAGACCTTCTGCTCTTTCAGGGCACTGTTAGGCAGTATGGGCTTTGTGTGATGTGATGACTGTAAAGAATGTGCTTAATCCTGTTACTGGCTTCACCCTGAGCAATCTCAAGACCTCCAAATGAAAAGTGCATTTTGACTGATGAGTCACAGTCAGACTTATCTGCTGGTTTGCATGAGGATGGAGGAAAAACTGAATAATTCCTCTGAAAAGTCTACATGCAACATGGAAACATGTTCAGTCCCTCTTTATTTATAATAATGTAGTTTAAAAAATACAATTCTGTAAAATACTTCCTGGGTTCTGTCAAAGTAATATTTTTGCTAATACTTTTTTAAAAAATCTATTTGCATATAAGCTATGCTACTATGGAGGTAAATAAAACCCAAGGACAGTAATCAGCACTTCACTACTAGATAAGTTATTATTTTGGGATTTCAAATGAAATTTAGCTTTGTCACTACCTTCTATTTCTCTGCTGTGCTTTGTATCACAATATTAAGACTTTACTTTTTCCATCAAAAAAACCTTAAAAAACCAAAACCATCTCCAGCAAGTGATCAAGAGGTCAGCACTTATTTTTGTTCACTGTCATAAAATATACTGGAAGCTGAGATTGTAGAATAAAGTCTTTATATATCTTTGCAGGACAAAGTCATCTGTGTTAAACAAAGGTGATTTTTTCCAACAGCAGTAAGTAGGAGCTGGTCACTGGCAGGAGTCAGTGGATATCTCAGTGCTTGAGAGCCCTGCAGTAGTAAATTTCGTGCTTTTTAAGCAGTGAAAGTTGGATATTTTTTTTTCTGTTTTGCTGCAGTCCTTGCAAGCTATTTTAATTTTACATTTAAATATTTTTATGTTCATCACAGTGTCCTCTTGTGCATACTATGTAGCTGCTTTGCTTTATGTACACTGAAAGAAGCAAGAAACAGTCTGTCACACCTTTGTTGCTAAAAGGCTGCCTCCTTGGGCCTCTTCTTGTGCTGCCTCTTGCAAGTTGCTGGTGTAGGACTGAGATCTAGTAACAGTGACTCAGAGGCAGAAGAATTTCTCTGAAAAGAGACACTATTTTTTAATTAGCACTGATTTTGGCCATTTGTTTCTGAGAGTTGAGCAGCAAGAGACTTTCTTCTATGTCTGGAAGGATACCTTTAAATGATGTCTTCAAATGAGTTTTTTCTTCAAGCAGTATAGATATTATACTGCTTGAAGAAAAAACTGCCCTGATATTAAAGAATATTTGAATTTGTGCTGCACTGATGCCTGAATTTGTATTTTAACTTTTGTTGCTAGTGCTAGGTCTGTTACCGAGAGAGACTTTTGTATACATGAGAGAAGAGGTAGTGGATTTGTTTTGGTGCTAGGACTCAGATTTCTAGTGATCTCCACATAAACCTTATTGCAGTTAATAACACTGACCTATGCAGAGCCCTGACTATATATGAAACCAGACAGCTTCACTGTTAAAAATGAGTGAATGTATCTGTATTCCCTGTGCTTCTTTGCTCTTTGTTGCCTTCTCCTTCACATGAATGTTTTTGATTGCTCCTTTGCTTTCCTGTGCTGATGGTTTTTGGTGGATCCAGTTGATTATAGGGAAAAGAATTTTTTCTGTTCATAATTGGCCTTAATTGTTCTCCAGAGATGTCTTGGTTTTGTGCTCATTTATGTCAGGATATTTTAACTTTAAAGCCTAGTGACTCTGTTCTTTTGTCTGACTTTAGACTCACTCACAGAGGTTAATTCCAACACACCAGCAACCTGTTATGAGTCTGTTCCAGCAGCAACAGCAGCAGCAACAACAACAACAACAGCAACAGCAGCAGCAACAACAGCAGCAGCAGCAGCAACAGTTACAATCTCTGCTTCCTTTACAGCATCAGCATCATTCTTCTCCTCCTCCAGGGCTACATATGCCCCCTCAGCTAGAAACACCTCGAATAATGATGACTCCCCCTCCAGTGACCCCCCAGCAGCCGAAGAACATCCACATCAATCCGCATTTCAAGGGGACCGTGGTGACGCCTGTACAAGGTGAGCTCTCTGAACACCTTGCCAGTCATGCAAGCGTGACTCATCTCGTCCTTTGCCAGAGATGGAACAATTTGTTTGTTTATCACTTCATGGAAATGCGCTTCAGGCTGCTGGTTTTTTTTTCTTGAAGCTTGAAACAAATGTTTTGCCTGAAGTAAGACATAATGTTGTTGGACTGTGGCCAGCTGAACAAGCAAAGCCTTTTCAGCTTTTACCATGTTTGATATTCTAATGTAAAGCCTGAGAAGAGCAAGGAAAATGGAAACTAAAAAGAGAATGTGCTTTTCAAAAAAACAATAAATGTCATTTTTCAAAACTAGGAAAGTACTGCAATTTGTAAATTTACCAGGACTGTCTACCAGTTTTGGTGAGAGGGTACTGAGGCACTCCTTGCAATGTAATTGCTCTGTGAAAGATACCAGTTGCTGTCCTTTCTTGACAAGATACATGCCCTCAATTTTCCTTTCACAGAAGCACATCTGTAATTGTTTTGATTTGCAAATACGTGTTTTCTCTAAGCTAACACAAACATTTGAGCTACACTTCTTAGGGTAGCTCTCAGCAAAGCTGTTCTTACTACTGCTTATTTAGGAAGTGTTTAATCCCAAAGAGGGTTATAAAAAGATACCTGCACAGCTCTGATTTCTCATTATGTTGGGACAAGACAGACTAAAGAAATACATAAATATTTATACATATTTGCCATTAAGTTTTCTGTATTTTCCCCCACTTCACATCAGCAGAACTCCAAGCCAGTGCTATCTTTGAAAAACAGGAATTTGGCAGGGTAGAACATTGCTAGAGTATGGAGGTCTGTTTTGCTGCTCACATATGACTTTGTCAGAGAATTAATTTTGCTTTTCCCCGTGGTGCTTCCCACAAAATTATGCATCAGGACAGATTATCTGGAAACACTCCAAAAGAATCTTTACTTGTGGGTTTGCACCTTCTGTACATTTATCTAGCACTACCAAAGTAAGTTACTGTTTAATGAGAAGCAGAAATTGCCTTTAGATTATTCTATGCCTTTTCTCTGTCCCTGTGAAACAGTACTAGATCATTTCTCTCTAGCTAAGCAATAATGTGATCACAATCGTGGGAATGGCTACTGAGGGTGTGTGCTTTTGCCTAATGTCAGAACTATCCCAGTGTATTTTCTTCCCTCTGTCTGAGGAGTCTTTTTTCATATTGCTGAGCAGCTTCAGGCTCTTCTCAGCTTTACCACTGTGTCTGTGGCACTGTAGCTGTTGCAGGTCTCTTGCTTGATCTTGTTCACAGTCTGTTTTTCAGTCTTCATGCATATCCTCATTTCCAGAAAGTTGTGTCCCTCCTGCAGGTTAGGAGATCTTCAGTATTGGATTTGTAAAGGGGAGGGTGTTATTAGGTTTTTTTTTAGATCTTATATCTGCTGACTTTATGTGCACATTCATTTCTTGACTTGTAGAAGTTCAGGTTTTCTCTAGACTGAGCTGCCCTGGAGAGTGAGTTGAGATTGTTGAATGGTGCTAAAACCTCCATTCAGCAAGGACATTCTTTGCTCTGTGTATTCATGGCAGCTGCTTCATATGGAATACCTTTGTGCCATTAATTTTACTGAAAGAGTCCTTGGCAAGACTACAGAATTTTTCTGCTAATAGGTGTGCAGCATACCATTAAATACAATCTTTTAAGTCGCTGTAGAAATTTCATATTCTTGATTAGAGAGCATGTATTGGAAGCTGAGTCTCCTGCAGTGACTGAGAGTAGTGGCCATCTCAGTCTTAATCTGTAGCAGTACAGTTAAGTTACATGAGAGTAAACACACACATAAGGAAAATGTGAAAATGTGTTGGAAATGAGGAGCTTTCTGTAGATAAATGAGTGTGACGGTGGTCACAGGGGTCTTAGGATGAGGGAAGAGATGCAGATCTGACTCCATATTTCAGAAGGCTTGATTTATTATTTTAAGATATATGTTACATTAAAACTATAGTAAAATAATAGAAGAAAAGGTTTCATCTTAGAAGGATAGCTAAGCTAAGAATAGAATCAGCAAGAATCATAACAAAGGCAGCTGTCTCGGACTCTCTCCGAGACAGCTGTGCTGTGATTGGCCATTAATTATAAACATCTAAGATGAGCCAATGAAAGATCCACCTGTTGCATTCCACAGCAGCACATAACCATTGTTTACATTTTGTCGCTGAATCTCAGCTTCTCAAGAAGAAAAAAATCCTAAAGAAAAGATTTTACATGAAAAGTTGTCTGCGACAAACGAGCATAATTCTAACATATTCAATGGTATTTGCATATTAAGGTGAATTTTAAAGCAGTCACTGCAGGCAAATGGTAGATAGAAATTCCAGTGTAGGAAGTGCTGCTCCAAGCTTCCTCTTAAAAAGTCTTCCTTTAATCCATCTACTTGAAGCCCCAGTAGGCAGAGACTGGTGGTTGGCAACAAAAGGATGTGTTCCACTTGCAGCATCATTTCTTGCTGGATGAAAGATCAGATTGTCTTTGTGTTCTTGATGATGTCCTGCCCCTTCTTGGCTGAACGTATTTCTAGATACATGAGGGGCTTTACACATTGGAGAATACAGTCAGATAGGTGCAAAGTTTATTGGGATTCTCTTGTTGAAAATGTGATGCCTGGAAGCTAAAAATGCCATGTCTGGAAGTGCATGATATGCACACTTAGGTTCTGGTAATTTTAATAGTGTGCTGTCATGTTTTAGTGTAGACTGGCATTTTTCCCTCTCTAATTTTATGGCAGGATAAAGCTCACACACTTCTAATTGTCAGCACCAGGGACACTTTTCCTAACTGCAGATCATAGAAATACACTTTTAAAACATCTTTTTGGTTTGAGTTAGTCTTGAAATTCTTCGACTGTATCAGTATTTTCTAAAATAGACTCAAACCTCCTGTAAATTGTTACAAAATTTTCATGTGAATAAAATACTATCTATAAGAGCTCTTAGTAGACAGCTACTTCAGCCTGAAAAGGAGTAGAAACACTGTTGAAGAATCCTATCATTGGCTTATTCCTTTGATGTTTCAAAGGCAAATCTCTTTACAGTGGCCACCATCTCCCTGCCCAGCCTTGAATCCTGATTTGAAAAAAATAGTTACTTTCAAGTCAGTTTTGTTTCAAATGGATTGGTACTATTTTTAGTCTTTGAAGCTTCATAAATGATTAAGGACTTGGTCTTTCAAACCCTTAAAATATGAGTCTCTGTGGATACCTGCTGCAGGTACTGTGCAGTTGGTGTTCAGCTGTGCCTCCTGTGACATTTGAATCCCATATCTTTTAGCTTGTCTCATAGTTTTATCTTTTCTTTGTGTCCTATCCTGCAAATTACTTTTGAGTTGTAGGTAGTAATTTTTGCTGTATGTGTGTCCAAACTTGAGTATGATCAATTTATTAATGCTGGAGAACTGTCCATAGATGCACTGTGAAGTACTGATTTAACCTGTGATAATAGGTGTTGCATTTTTCCCCTTAAATGTTTATACCACCAGTAACTATTTCAGAGATCCTGTGGTGCTGCCAAAATTGACATGAACTAATGAGCAGTTCATGGCAGCTCACTGTGCCATTCACCTTTTGAAAACTGTTTGGTGTCTTGGGAACAATCACATTGTAATTCTCCTGGATAATCAGTGTGGGAATTGCTTCTTCATCTTTTCCAGTATAGTGTTGGAATTTATAGCAAGAAGCAATTTAATCTTCTTAAAATAGTGCCTTACAACATGCTGTGTATTATTTTTGAAACATACTTTTCACACCTATGGAATATTTGACATCAAGAAAATGAGGGCTTGAGACTTGTTTGCTGCTTAAGCAAGTGTCCAAGGATTGAAAGGGCACAGAGTTTGAACTACTATCTTTCATGAGTATTAAATTAATTTGTTGAAAATATATAAATATATGAATTTATGTGCTACTGCTGGAGGCAGAATACTGAAATAGACTCTAGTTCAGTTGACATTTCTCTACATTTCCCACCTTATGCCATTTTTCTCAGTGCCTCTTTGACCTGTAATACCTGAACTATTTTAGGACTAGGTCTGTCAAGAGCGTCTTAGCATTTTTTTTCTGTGTGGCCGTGGCTGTTTGATACCAACAGATGTTCATTAGAAGCCAGGATGAAACTATTGCAGTCATTTTCTGGTGTAATGTGATACAAAGCTTGCACACAGTCCTCCCATGCTGAAAGACTGCTGCAATTAGTTTACCCCATCAGTCTCTGAACCAGCAAACCACAAGTACTTAATGAAAGTGGATAGAAGCCAGACATGGACATGAACTGAAAAACAAAACACTAATGCATTAGTTCTTGTGCCTTGGTTACCAAGGGAAAAGGGATTTTTGAGGCATCTTAGCCAGCTCTATGTTGGGAAATGTACCCAACTTCTCTCAAATTAGAAACATTTCTTGGTATCTTTCCTGCTCTGAAGTGTGACACAGTAGCTGTGTGCAAAGTCACTGTTCAACCCTGCTTGGGAAATGTTTCCCTCTCACTTTCAGAAGTGCTAAAAACAAACTGGAGAAGAATCTTACTAAAAGCTTTTAGTAAATGAGCAAACACATTGTGAGGTTGGAAATGCTTTATTGGGCTTCTCTAGGCCTTTTGTTTAAAATGGAAATGTTTGTATTTTTAACCACTTACACAACTATGAGAGGAAATAAAAAGTGCTCTGGAAAACAGCAGAGCTGTCATAACACTTTGTATTTGAGATTGGAATACAGGTTCAGTTCCCAGGGTGATCCAGCTGTAGCACTTTGTGCATTTTGCCATAACATTAAGTGAATGTTTTGGGAAATAGCTTTTTGTGACTAGCATTTCAAAGTGCAGTTGTAAGAGCAAATCATCCATGTTAATCCCCCTGAAATACTAGTTTTAGAGGTTATTTTTTCAAGAAAAGGTTTCCTGATTCTTCTTGGTATCTCTATGCAATCACTGTCTTTCATCTGAGATCAGCAGTTCTGTGATCACAGTTGCACACACCACTGTGGTGCCAAGGCCAGACAGACTAAGTAGTTTTTGTGTGCTGTTAATTGCAGCTGCCTGCCTCATTTTACCCTCATGAGCAGTGATTTTTACCAGTTAGTGTCTCTCATGTTCATGCTTCTTGTGGTAGTTTGGTGGTGAGACTGGGAGATGCCTAGGAAACGTTGAGTGGCATGAAGTTGAGAAGGCAAATTAATCATGTATCCTTCTATTTGAAACGTGAAATTATTGTTAGTGTCTCTGTCAGCTTTGTCTAAGGGATGTCTTTGGCTGAATAACTATTCTAGTTTGCCTTCCTGCAACAAGGAGCAATTTAATTCTGGAAAAAGCAGAACTAAATTATGTAAATTAACCAGGAGAATCCTAATTGCCCTGTTGCATGTTGTAGGGGAGGGAACGGTTCCTCAAAGTTAATTGTAGTAACTGTGACATGTGAGAGTAAAAGTAGCAGATTTTAATCATGGCTTTTTATTGCAAATGCTTTTGGAAATAACTACAACTGTTAGGTAAAACAAATGGTGTTAAAAGGTGCTTCTTGTTTCAGTGCCCTTGCTGCCAGTTCCTGCCCAGCCAAGACCTGCTGTAGGACCCCAGAGATTTCCTGTGAGTAGCAGCTGTTTCTTCTTCTCTGATATGGATAAGCATACATTTGCAAGGAAATATTAATATAGCAAATAAAAGCTGTTCTAGTGAAATATAATTTTAAGGATTTGTAAATATTGACAATACACTCTGCAGTTGAAAATGTTTGTTAAAAGCTTAAGGTCAATGGATTTTTGAGAGTAGAATTAATTCTGTTTAACTGTAAAATTGTTGAACCAGTCTCTCCAGTGGGAAAGACATGAATGCATCCTGTCTTAAGGAATATGGGCTTCATTTTATTACTCGACTCTTTCTGTATAAATAGAATCCTTACTTTATTTGATATAATAAAAGGCTTTTTGAAATAATCCCTAAGCTTAAAAAGCAGTAATATGTATTTATTGTAAAATGCAGCAATTTTTATCATTACTAAATGTATTTCAGCACTCTCATGTTTTTTATTTGAAAAATAGAACTGGCATTGCATGACCTTGCTTTCTTTTATGTTTCTAATTTTGACAACAAACCAGACACTTAGCTGCCTCACTAGGCTAATTTCACTTCATAATTATTTTAAACTCTATGAATGAGAAGAGTATATGCTTCTAGAACTTTTCTCATCATTTCAGTTTTGTTATACTAAATTTCTAGTTTAAATGGTTAGCAAGGTATCAAAATAAGCAAAAGACCTAGGTTGCAATATTACCTAAAGTATTTTCAAGTAAAAACCTGCATACTGTACTTCCCAAATATATAAAACACATAAAAATGTGTTGATGTGTGCAGTGCTGAAGAAGGAAAATAGATGTCTGAACATCTGTGTGGTATCTCTGGCATAGAGATCAGATGTGCTAGAAAGAAGCACATTTCAGAAACCTTCTGTGACTTTTGATTGCCTAGTGTGCATCTGGTTGTTTTTAATGCAGAATATTTTTCTTACAGACTTATGGCTGAGGAATTGTGATATGTGTATTTTGCAGAGAAACAGTCTTTACATTGCTGCATTTCTTCTGTGAAGTCTTAAAAAATTGAGTTGTAAACCCACAGTTTCATTAAGTAAATTCATGTTGTATCTTCAAGAAAATATTTTTGAGCTTTTTTAAAAACTAAAAATATTGTGGTTTTCAGAGGAAATAGTTTCTTCACTTTAGTATTATGGGGAGATCTTATTTACATTTTGAAAGTGGTTTTAATTGTTATTTTTTATGAAAACAAGTGTCATGCATTTGTTTTCCTTTGATACTAAGTTGATTTGCCCGTAAACACAATTTGGGATGGAAAGAAATTGGAGGATAAGGGATATCTGTAAAGGCATTGTAATTGGCATCTTTGAAGTGTGTTTACATCAGCGTAGAAAACTTGAAAATTAATTTTTATTTAAATTGAGTGTGAAATTAGATTTTAGTTCTGTTCACTTTTGGGGTTGCAAGTTGAGAAGTATTGCAAACCTAACTAATCTAAATGCAGCAGTTTTTAAAAGGGAATAAAGTAAACTGAACATTTTTTGGTTGGCCCTTTGCTCCTTTAGCCTGCAGGAAAAACTTAACTGCTTGCTGTCTTTTTATTTATATAAGCAGTGCACCAGAAAAGAGTCAGTATAATTAAATTTTCATAAGGAGGAGGAGGGCTGACTTAACTGTGAGGGTCTGGCAGTGTCATTTGGTTGCCCTGACTGGGTTTTTCCTACTTCAGCAGTAAGGTGCTGTATGACCCTGAGAAAGTTGCTTCATCTTTCCATGGCTCACTGGGTTATAAAGTGGACTTCCCCTATGAAGTACTTTATAAATTTTGCATGGGTTATCAGTCATATTAGGATTAGGAATTAAATGTCACTGTGTACATATCTCATGTTTGTTTTATTAAATGTAGTATGTTAGCTCTTGAGCTGAAGACAAATTTACTTTCTGACTAACGTTTTATCTTGCAGAACTACCTTTTTTGCTGTTACATGTCAGATGCCTTTGTGCTATTATAATTCACTTGTTTATGTATAAATGTTGACTTTAAGCAATGCAGCTTTGGTTAGACAATTTTGACAAGCCATTTGAAAAAGATCAAAGACTTACTCCAGACTATGTACAGTTCATTCAGCCTTTTCTTCATTGTATAAAGAATCTCTGGATAGGTAATAACTTGAATTTGCTCTTGTTTTTAAGATTGCATAATCAAAGGATAATAGTTAACTGATTTTTCTGGTTGCTTTGCTTCTAAAAGATAGTGGGGTTAGAATTAAATATTTGCAGTCTGCATTCCCCTTGAACTTTGAACTGGATGGTTTCTTCTCATTGAATGTGACAGAGGTGGAAACATGAAGAGTAATTAAATTCTTGCAAGAAGAGACCAGAAGTGGGCCATGCCATAACTGAAGGAAAAATTTGTCACTGAGTTTCTATCTTATCTAGGAGAGAAACCTCTCAGTGCAGAGAGCCTGTGTGCTCCAAATATGGGAAGAACTTCAATCAGTGCTAATCAATTGGCAGTCCTAAATCTATTGGAAACCAGGTGTTGTTAATTTGGGGCTGATGAAATGACTTTGTAACCATGTAATGGTTAATTCTTACAACCTTCTGCAGGAGGACATAATTGAAGGGTTGAACAAAGTTGTAATGAGCGTGTTAACATATGGTGTGAGACCTAAATTATAGGAAATAATGTAGTGCTGTGTCAGGCTAGTGTTGATCAGGACTGAACCTGCTTAGAGTGGGGGCTGATTAAATTCCCTTAATCTTGAATCTCAATTTTAGTATTTCAAGGTAGAACTTATTGTTCAGTTATTTTTTTTTTCTTAAAACTTAACTCCTGGAATGTTTAGAGAGGGAGTACTGGAAAAGGTACAAGGGAATGAATGTGTGTTGTGTACACAGAGTTATTTTAACCCTTACAGTAATCTTGAATCAAGCAATCAAGTTGTCTTACCTGTTACTCTCTGAGCATTCGAGATGACTTGGTGTGAATGGTGTTTGAGAGCTATTTGTAACTGACAAGGACTGAATAAATGGTGGATCTGGGGTGTGTCACAGCTGAGAACCAGAGTGCACTTGTGGGATCTGGGAGTTAAGGATGTGAATTCTGTTTGTCTGAATTGCACAGTGATTGTGGCTATAGTTCACAGTAATCCAGTCTAAAAGCATGGTTTGAATTAACCTGGACCTGTGCAAGTGCCAACTGAATGTTTTCTTTAAACAGTTTAAAGAATAGATTAAATAACCTCTTTGGCAGAGTCCTTCTGAAGGTCTGGCTTTATCATCTGCCTTTGCTTTAAAGTGGTTAAGAGGCCTCTTCCAGAGTTCCTGTCCCAGTGTCACAGTTGGGACAAACAGCAGTCTCACAAACAGCAGTCTCCTTTGCAAACTGATCCATTTACAGGAGGGTCACAGAAGATTTTATTCACAGGCTGCTCATGGCTCTCCTGAACTTTTCATGTGTTTTCTGACCAATTTACTAATTCTTGCTGATGCCCCAGTGCAGGGGTAGGAGCTGGAGGGTTTTATATTACACAAGAGGGACCGCTGTGATTTCTGTCCTTCATCCAGTGTTTGTTATCTTGGCTAATTTCTCTTTCAATTCCTGTGTTCTGTGAAGAAAGATGGGATAAAACAAGGAAGAGGAGATTAAATAGAAAATGCAAGAGGTATTTCTTTTTCATTATATAAAGGCTGCTGCTAACTGACTGTTACAGAAGCCAGAGCATTTAGTGAGTGTGAAGCTGGAAATTAAGGGATGAAAAAGTCTGGACCATCAGCTTATGAGTCCACCAGCACATTCCATGTCTGAAATATTTCAGTGTTTGCCTGAAGAAAAATGTATAGAAGCTTTTGGCTTCAAACATAATTTATTTAACTTATGAACACTGAAGTAATAGTACTACATGAAACACATGTGCAGTATTTAATGGACATACAGAGATAAAGTATTGTCATGCCCACTTTGGGATGGAATGTGGCAGAGAGAGGGTCTCAGTGTTCTTCAGCCAGAAATTGTGAGCTATCCCTAGCATCCAGATTTGTGGCTGGAGTGTGGGGCATTTGGAGAGAAGAGAGAACTGGGGAGACCCTGCCTCCCTCTGCTAAAGGCAGAAGAGAGAGATTCCTCAGCTCTGAGGCCATTCCCCCTCTGTCCATGGCCTGGATCCTCCTCTGCAGCTGCTGCAGTGAGAGCAGAGCCTGTTGAGTGGAGCTGTGTGCCTTTGGCTCTCAGGAACTTGGGATCAATTCTCAGTTAGCTGTTGTCCTTAAGCTTCACCCTGGCTGTGGTGTGAGCTGGGCAGGTGCTCAGCTCACAGCCACCTTTGGTCAACTTGAGTTTCAGAGCTGAAGTTGGGAACTGTCTGAAGAGGCACCATGTACAAGATGAAGTGGCACCAGTGTCTACCTGGCTAATTTGTGCCATGAAGGCTTTGCTATTTTTTAATGCACAAAGATTTTCTCTTTTGACACCTTAGTGCACTGGCTGGGTGTCTTTCAGATAACTCTTGGATTCGTGTCTGAAGAAGCTGAATTGTAAAACATGATTTATGTTTTATTTAGTATTTTTAAGACTTTATCAGGGTGACTTACTCTCAGGCCCTTGTGAGTAGCCAATGTGGTATGTCTGTTTTATTCCCGGGGGTTTTGACATTATTTGCTTTTGGAACTTAGAACTTATTTTTAAAATAATCTTCATCTCAAAGAATACATTTTCTTTTCCTTAAACAGCAAAAACCTTAGTAAACTTTCTTCATGTTCTCATTCAACAAGCTTCCATTTGATCTCCAGCACATCAGGTGGTGTCTCAAATGGATGCTGTGAAGGGTAGTTGATCAGTTTTGGTTCATTTTTCCATCATTTATGGAATCAGTAGTTTGATTTCTGAGTTTTTGAGTGTTGTTTGTGTTCCAGACACTGTTTTTAAACACTTCTTTATGATTTAATCTGTGACTAGTCATTGCCCAAAACAGAAGTTGCTGTCCTTCATGGTCATTTGTTTGAAACATTTCTTTAAAAAAAGCAGTATATTAGTGCTGTACAAATTAATTATAAAAG